CTTGACCCGCTTGCCCTGGATCTCCAGAGTCTTCATGGTGAAGTCGACGCCGATGGTGCTGCCCTGGCGCTCCGAGAAGGCGCCCGTCTTGAAGCGCTGCACCACGCACGTCTTGCCCACGCTCGCGTCGCCCACCAGCACCAGCTTGAACAGGAAGTCGTACTGCTCGTCCGGGTCGCCCGGGCCCGGCCCCGCCATGGCCGCGCGGGAGCCGAAGGGCCGGCGCTCCGAACGCTGGCGGCGGCCTGGCCTCACGGAAGCCGCGTGCCGCCTGGCGACGTGGAAGCGCCGCACCACCTGAGGGAGAGACGCCGCCGGCCGCCTGCCCCGCCTCGGCCGGTCCTCCGCCCCGCCCCCTGCCCTCCGCCCCGCCCTCAGCCCCGCGCCAGGCCAGTCGGGCCCTCAGGCCCTCCCTCAGACCCGACCCTAATCAGACTCCGCCCTCAGGCCCGCCCACCGCCCCGCCCCGGCGGGACTCGGCCCCTCAGCGCTGCTCTCGGCCGCGTCCCCAGCCAGGTCCGCCCCCAGACCTGCTCTCAGGCCCGCCCCCGCCAGACCCCGCCCCCAGGCCGGCTCTCAGCACCGCCCCCGGCCAAACTCGGCCCTCAGCACGGCCCTCGGCCCTACCCCCAGCCTGGCGGCGCCCTCAGTGGCGCCCTCGGCCCGTTAACGCTCGGCTCCTCAGCTCCGCCCCTGAGCCCGCCCACAACCCAACCCCGCGCGCAGCACCGCCCCCTCACTCGCCACGCCCCACCACCTACTTAGGCCGACCCGCGCCGCACGGCCTCCCAGGCCTGGCTGGTCAGCCCGGGCTCCCTCACCTGCTGGTGTTTCAGACGCACAGGCAGGAGCAGGCTGGAGGGAGTGGTGGGGTCTCTGGGCCTGCAGGCCTGGGAGCCTGTTAACCCAGCCCTTGGACCCAGAATGGCGTCCTCTAGAATGGATCACTGGGGAAGGTGCTCTCACTAAGAGGGTGCTCTCACTAAGAGGGTGGCAATGCAGAATCCCTGTAACAGAGGATGGGATAGATTGTAGCATTTTCCCATCCCGAAGAAGGAAAAGGCCTGGGGGCACACTACAAGGAAGGAAGAAGGCTTTGGTGAGGCCAGAAATTAAGCTGGCTACAAAACTGGGGAGGGGGCCCCCCAGGATTCTGGGGAGAGTGGAATTAGGGAGCCCTGTTTGGTGGGAGACTAGGCCAGAAGGAGGAGTTGGGAGATCCCAGCCCCAAAAGGCAGCCTAGCAGTGGTTGAAGTAGCTGCCCAAACGGCTCAGAATGGGCTGGCTCAGTTGGCATTATGGGTCCAGTTGGGGCCTAAGCAGAGGAACAAGGGAGCTTCATGGAGAGTTCTGTGGAAGGGCAGACCAGCTCCCGAGATGGTGCAGTGAACCACGGGTCCTCAGAGAAATGAGACCCAAACGTCTGTAAGAGACTTAAAATAGATGAAATAAGACCTGTCCTCCAAAGGGCTTCCCAACTACCAAGATGGGAGGGAATTAAGAACACTCATGCCCTCTTACAAGGGGGCTACAGCACTCCAATTCTATGTAATTAAAAAAATTCGAGGACTGGCCCAGTGGCCTAGTGGTTAAGTTCCCATGCTCTGCTTTGGTGGCCCAGGGTTCTCCCCATTCGGATCCTGGGTGTGGACCTACACACTGTTCATCAAGCCATGCTGAGGCAGCATCCCATATAGAAGAGCCACAACTCTATAGCTATGACACACAACTATGTACTGAGGCTTTGGGGAGGAAAAAAAAAAAGAGGAAGATTGGCAACAGATGTTAGCGCAGGGCCAATCTTCCTCAAAAAAAAAAAAAAAAGATTAATGCCTGTTATGGGTAAGGTACTGTTCTAGTGCCTTGGAATATATCAGTGAACAAAGCAGACAAAAATCCATACCCTCCCCAGTAGAAAAGGGAAAAGGGCCTTCCCCGTAGCTTAAGGAGACAGCAGAGAGCAAGTCCACCAGGACCAGTACCCCTGAAGACCCCTGACTGGCTTCACTGGCCAGGTGGGGGAGAGACGCTGAAGAGGCAAAGGCAGATGTATGGAGAAGGTGGAAGAGTTATGTGTTCTGGAACAGTTTGAACTCCACTCCCATGGGAAATACCCAAGAATACAAGGCAGGAACTCCCAAAGTGCCATGGAAAAGCAATTCTGGGAGCCCAGCTTTATTATATCAGACTGGAGCGGCAGGAAATAGCCTCCATTCCAGGGTAGAAGTAGACTGAAAGATGTGGGATGGAAGGCTTCCGCGTGCTGGGGTTGGCTTTGGGAAGGTGGGGCATGTCAAAGCCCAGAACTCCAGAAAACAAGGTCGGCCTCCAGCTCAGAGTGGCTACCCAGAGCACAAGGTGGAGAGGGGGAAGGGAAAGGTGAGTCCAGGAGCCAGGATGAGCCAAGGCTCTCACCCACTGGAGGCATGGGGAAAGGAAGGAACAACGTTGACAGTTTCCGGGCGAGGTGAGCAAGTGGCTGGATAGCTGAACTGGCCTTTCCATTAGCCTTGCCTGGAATTGGTTTGGGATGGGGTGGGAGCGTGTTAGTCTGGGTACGGATTTTGTCAGAAAGCCCAGCCACCACTTGCATTTGTGCAGTGATGGAAACGTTCTAAAACTGGACTGTCACGAGGGTAGCATTACTCAGGAAATTTATTAAAATCATTAAATTGTACTCTTACAATGGATGGTAAGTAAATTATACCTCAATAAAGCTGTTAAAAAATATCTGCATTTCCTCTCTTTTCGTGGTAAATTCCTGAATAGCACAGTGGCATTTTATCTGAAATTGAATTATGCTCATTTGAAATGGAGCAATGCAAAAATGTTTATGATGTCTCACCGCCCAAAATTTTAAATAACGCACATCCCCAATTTTTTTTAATGTATCAAGAATTTAACATTCTTAAAGCTAATGGTGGGTAGACGGAGTGAATTTTCTCTGTGTTTGGGTTATTGCCACACGGTGGCACCATCCTAGTTGATAACTGAAAGCATCTGCTGTCACCCCACTGTTCCGTGTATCAGAGCTCCTCCAAGTGGTTAGAGGAACAAGTGCCTTTCTCCTCCTTCCTTCCTTGGTTCCTTCCTCCCTTCCTCTTCCTTCCTTCCTCCCTTCCTCCCTCCCTCCCTTCCTTCCTTCCTTCCTTCCTTCCTTCCTTCCTTCCTTCCTTCCTTCCTTCCTTTTCTCATCTTTTTCTTTCCTTCTACAGTTACCATTATAAAATATATAGCCTCTAACAATATCATCCATGTTTTCTTTATTTGGTAGTGCCCAGACCAGTGCTGAAAATGTGCCCCAATCAGAAAGAAAGGTGAAAAAACTCCATGAAGAAGACCAGACACCAACCATGATACCTTGTACTCTTAGTGTAGAAGAGAGCTTGCTGCAAAATACTAGAAAACTAAAAGCAGTAAGAATGCAAAAATATGCGGCAGCAGTTGTACCCTTAGGTGCCCTGGGCTCGCGCTAGCTGAGGGCTGGGAAGGCTCCCTCCCGGGAGCAGCCCTCAGTTCCTCTGGTGGCCAAAGAAAAGCCATCCATCCCACTCTCTCTCTCCTCCCAGAACCCCAAACTATCATAAACATGGGCCAAGTGAACCCTGCTTCATTTGATGGTACCAGTTTCACACTTGAGGCTCTGACTGGAAGTACGGGATCACCTGGCTCTCAGCACCGCTACTCCAACCTCCACCACCTCCACAGCGCCCTCCCACCAACTCTGCTACCCCCAGACCAGGTGCCTGCCTTCCCTGGAGGACTGCCCTGGCTTTGTCCCTTCTCAGCTTCTACATGGCCCTGCAGCCCCTCACGCCGCCAAATGGACCTGAGGGGAGTGCTCTTACACGGCTGCCCCTGCTCAGACTCCTTGACAAGCCCCAGACCCTCAGGAACATCCCCGTGTTCAAGGCCCACCGCACCTCTTCAACATCATCGGCTCCCCTGCCCTGAGGCCCCTCCACTATTTCCCAGCCCCTCAAACATGCCAGTTTTCACAGACTCCCACATAGCCCAGCGAGAGGGACCTGGGAGCACATCTGCCCTCCCCACTTCTCATCTTACTGAGGCAGAAACCCAGGCTCAGTGCCTTGCAGAAAAATACTCTGTGACAGGAACTCTGTACTGGGTCAGCCCTACAGGAGACCTTCCCTCTACATTATTTTTTGGGGTGGGGGGGTGAAGCAAGAGGGGAGCAGATATGAAAACACCTGAAAGGGTGGGGTGCTGCTGCTAGTCTTCCAGTGGACCTGTCTGCTCGTTTTAGTCAAACGGTGCCTGCAGGAGTTGGGGAAGCCCTGATGGCCCCCAGCGGGATCCTGCTGCAGTTAGTGTGAGCAGGGGTGGGAACCCTCACCTGTCTCCTCCTGGGACTTTGGGAGGAAGTGGTGAGATACTGATGCCCTCTATCCAGTCCAAGTGGCAGAGGCTGGGGTAGGGCGTGGAGCCCTGTGAGGCATCAAAACCAGACCCTTTGCCTCCCCACTGCAGGCTTGTGAGGGCATCGGGTTGGCAGGAGGAGAAAGGTTTTAATTTCTTCTTGTTTATAAATTGCCCAAGAACAGGAGCACTTGGTGTTAGAGGGCAGAGTGCAGGAGCTGGGGGCCGCAGGAGGAGGACAGTCTGAGGCCTCGGTGGTGCTGATGTGACAAATCATAAAGCACGGCAGGAGGAAGATTGACGTTTTAGTCTCACAGGAGGACTGGTGTGGTGAGGGAAGGGAGGGAAGTCTATAGAAATGTGTGTATGGAAAGCTGCCGTTTAGGAAACTGCAGGCAGAGCCAAAGCTAATATAAACCATGATCAGATTTTGTCAACCAAAGTTTCCTGCGAGTGGTTCTGTCACCTGTGGGCTATGAGCTGGGCCAAGGTGACCACATCCCCACCAGTAGTCACACCCGCCAAGCCAATTCCCCTGCTGACCCAGGCCTGGAGTAGGAGCCCTATTGAGACCTTCTCTCTGGGGCCCCTGGCAGACAAGTAGCCAGGGCCCGCAGGGCAGGAAGAAGCCTGGGGTTGGGTCCCATCTCTGCTGGGGACACCTGTAGGATGTTGGCGGGTTGCTTCTCTACTCAGAGCCTCGGTTTCCTCAGGTGTGGGACATGGCTTCCTGTCCTGCCTGCATCCCGGGAAGCCACAATGAGATCCCTGGTGGGGAGGGGCTTTGCAAACTGAAGGGCTGGAGCAGGGCTCCCGTTCCTGTCTCTGTCCCTGGTGCCTAGACGCCTGCTGAATTCCATCGACTGCATGAGGAAGGCCTGGAGTCCTGGACATTCCAGATGGGCTGCACTCCAGGCACTTGCCAACCATCTTTTCCAGGGAGAAGAAACGCCTGTTGTTTGAATTTCCTGCTCTCATCGAAAGCAAGGTGGCC